TTAATTATGTCCTCTCTGGGCCAACAATAAATGCTAATATATTTAAGGAACTCTATGGCATTTTGTACTTTGACAAGTAGTACTGAGATTGGGAAGTAGCGACAGATGGGATGCTGATGGCAAGACCATTTATGACGTTAGTTGAGCACAATATGATGATGAGGCTGTAACCCTGATGCAGATGAAAGATACCACAGATAAGAAAATAGATATGGACAATCTGTAACCCAAAATAACAAAAAGCAGGTTATCAATACTAGATTATGATAGCAGTAACAACAGTGATAAAGATGTGGTTAATAGGAAATATGTTGACAGTGAAACCTTTACTTTGGATGCATCAAAAGGTCTTCATATGAAAGGCAATAAAAGTGATTAATTTAGCAGACCCAACAAGAGCAACAGATAGAAGCAATAAAAAGTATATTGATACAAAAACAAACAATTATCTAAAAACTAAAAGTACAAGAGTAATGACTGGCAATTTGAATAAGAATAGAAGGATTATAATTAATGTCAAACAGGCACAAACACATCGAAACACATGAAAGCACACATGTTAATGCTAATGTTAATTTTTTTAATACAACTATTAATGACAGCAACGTAATCATGACTTCTAATTATCAGAAGTATGCTAATGGAAGACTAAATCATTCTGTGGGTGGTGCAGATCAGAAAAACGTGTTTCAGTATCTCATGGATGACCATCGGCGTACGGGAAAAATTTTGTTGGGGGGGCTGAACATAATTTGCCCAAATGAAACTTGTTGGTCACAGATGCACAAGATGATTCTTTCACGACGTCAAGTTTTCTTTGCCATACCTTGAGAGCACGGGCGTTCAAATAGTGAAAATATTTTCGGTAAATCGAGATCAACATTTCTAAAATACAAAACCAAGAAGTGAGAGATAAAGCGTACCCAACTGAGCTCTAAAAGAAGTATGAAGAACGATTACTTCGAGACCCAAATATGTCAATAATCCTTTTCTGCATTGTCTTGTTCGCATACTTTCTTTTAATGTTAATTACGGCGATACTGCTAAGTCTGTCTTGTCCCATTGTGGATCTTAAAAATGTCTTGATGCGGCGACGGGCGCTGAAAGACCTTTCAGCAGAGCACGAGGTTGCAGGAATTGTGGCCAGGATGGAGGCAACTTTATATAGAACGGGTAAAATGTCATGGAGACCATTTTGATGCATGGTCTTTACCATCACGGCTACGTTTTTCTCTCTGGCATGGGTCCCCGCAGTCGTAGTTTTCAAAGATTGACTTCTCACTTGATAGCATTTCACTATCCACGCCATAGAAATTTGATACAGTTTGGATGTTGTTGATGCTTGAAGAATGGCTGAATACGATTTCGCCCAATGCGCACAAAACCTCCGGGTCATTGCCCTCAAACCTTGATTGAAGTTCACTGACGACTTTGTCAATACTTGTGTAATCTGTGATACGAAAGTGGTCTTTTGCCGTCTGTTGTGAGCTGTCGTTCGCTGCAGCAGGTGTCTCGCCAGTAAGGCCCTGAAGTCGGCGTGATGGTCTGGTTGGAGGCACCTTCGCATCTCTGAAGGTAAATTTCGTACCCTCGATTCCTATTCTGATTTTTTGCGCTATAACATCAGCATGTGACCACATTTGAGTGAAGCTCTCTTCATTGCGACAATTGCTCAGTGTCTTAACGACAGCATCAACAGTCTTCTTGGCAGTGATGACATCCGTCTGTTCTCCCTGTAGATATCTACTCAAATTATCAGTGTTGGATAAGATGAGCTTCAAAACCATCAAGCCATAAACAAACTCAAAGTCACAGATTGAGTGGAGAAGCGTATTACTTTCGTTGTAGGTCTTGGGATGGCGATCCTTTGATAAAGTGACCAGAGCTTCCATTATCCTCGGCACTTGCTCTAGCACGGCCCTCACCGCCGCCCAGCGACAGGACCATCTAGTGGTACTCAAAGATTTTAATGTAAGCGCAACATCCTCTTCATGAACTTCAATGTCCTTGAATAACGCATGGCGCTTGGTACTCCCGTGTAAGAAATTGTTAAGACTCTGGATAATACCGAGGGCATTATGGAGAGTTTCAATTTCGGCCATTGTGTCCTGAAGAGCCAAATTTAAAAGATGACCGTAACAATGTACATAAATTCCGAGAGGTGAACATCCCTTCATACGCGTAGTAAGGCCCTTGCGAATCCCACTCATGTTCGCAGCGCCATCAAAGCATTCGGCAATAATGTTTTCCAACCTTAAATCCAGCTTATTTATGGCTGTTTTTGCGAGCTCGTACAGAACTTCTCCCTCCGTAGAAGGAGTGGCAGAGAAACCAACGAAGTTTTCTTTTGTCTCACCATTGATAACTTACCTGATAACTTACCTCGACTTTCTTCATGGCCTCTAACAGCAATATTTTGCATAGCAGAGAAAATCAAGCACTCGATCATCACTTGTAAATATTTCCTGTTAAATTTGACCTGCTCTTTATGTGCATTTCTTAGTTGCTGCAGAACACTGCTATTCTTTCTTTCCATTGCTCTGAACTGCAGCCACTTAGTAATGCAACTTACATGATTCTCACTTTGGCTGTGTTTTGTTAACTTTGATAGCTTCTTCCAGTTCTTGAAAACAAAAGATGCATCCTTTACAAACTCTATGCAGGCAAAACATACACACACACGTCTTTTTCGACACCGTAAATAAGCCATGGATACTTTTTATACCAGTCAGGCTGGAATCGTCTAGTGAAAGACTCACTTCTGAACTTGGTGCCCGGATATTCGGGTAAATCAGGTTGTTTCGGTACCATTGTCGTCAACGTAGGTGATGTGGAGGACTCTGGCTCTAGTTCAGCAATCCCTCCGAGATCTGATTGAATGCCTTTATCTATCGGGGTACTGGGCTCGCTAGGTTCCCGGACGTCTCTCATTGACGAATCAGGCTTAAGTGAATCTTGGTCGATTGATTCAGGATCTGGCTGGATATTTGCAATAGATTCGTATGTTGATGAAATAGTAAGTTGTTCACTCTCTCGACTACATCAAACAAGCGGTGCCTCCTGTGTCTGACCTAGAGATTCAACTGCTGCACTGCTTTTAGAGAAGAAACCACTTAATTTCAGCTGTGACGATTCTACCACTGGCAAACATTTCACTTTTCGGGGCTTCTACATAGTCGGAGTCGAATTCTTTCTCGCATTCTTCACATTTCACATGGTATCGATATGATCTTTTGCGAGACTTCGACAAAGACATACTTCAATCCACCAAATTACACGCACATGCACTCGAGAATTGACATAAATTAACATGGCCGTCAACTCATGCGCAGTTCCAGTCCCAGCGCGGTCTTGATTATCACTCCCAGTCCCTCGGCAGAACTTAATGTTCTAACTCCGAGTACTCCGAGTAATAACAGCCATCCCATGAAGTAGTACAGAGATCAGTTAGAAGATTAGGCGAGTTGCGGGATGAAAACAAATAAATAAAGATATTAAATAATAAATTTTTTACTGTGTCTTTGCCCAAACGGTACATCAGTTTTGCCCGAATAATACTAATTTTTTTCCGAGCTTATGCACCGGATTTGGTCATACGTGTTATAGTCTGTGGTATCTCAGGGTATCATAATGAAGTTCCACCGAGCATGTCGGATGAAAAATGTGGAATGACTAGTGGTAATCTTAATTTTATCACACCAGTTCATTTGTTCGTCTCTGTCTTTGATGTTAGTCAGTAACTGACTAACTGACTAACATCAAAGACAGAGACGAACCGAGGAACAGACAAGGAGCAGTATATAAGATCAATTGCTCCGACTGCCATGCCTCCTACATCGGTGAGACTGGCAGAAACCTCGCAACTAGACTGACTGAACACAAACGAGCGACGAGGAAAGGCAATGTCAACAATTACATCGCTGAACATCACCGACTTACGAACCACACTATTGACTGGGACTCTGCGCAATGCCTAACCTACAGCACCAACTACTTTCAACGACTGAACCTGGAAAGCTGGTTTACTAACTTGGAACAGACTCCCCTTAACAGGTGTCAACCACTACCGGCACCATACAAACGACTCATCCACGACATTAACATTACAAACGAACCGAACAGAACGACCTAACTTCACTAACGGATCCTTACAGCCTTATTATGTTATTGGTCTTACAGCCAATAACATCACGGCAAAACTGACCAATCAGTGTACACAAACCGGACTAAGTACATTCGACTGACAACAACCTTTCACTTGACTCTGATGATGACTTCCGCTCAGGTTGTCCAAACGTCAGTTACCACTACCGACAACAGTCCTTCTCAGGACTACACTCACCCGGACGATCAAACTACACTATTAGATGTTGCCTTCGGGCTCAAACCATTTACTGTAGTACGTTAACAATTGAAGCGATCTACAGTATTAGGTTTGAGCTTTAAATAAATATTTTAAAGTTTACTCGAAAGATAAGTGTAAACTGTAATAAGCTTGGTTATTGTTTACGCGCAGTCCAGTACTTCAAGCCTGATACACCATACCACCACATTGCTTTGCGCCAATTAAAAACTGCAACGTAACGCCTATTGTGCACTTTACTGCGGAGAAACAGCCAAGCAGAATTTCTGATTCTGGCCCGCTTACGACCAGAATAATTAGTTTGATTAGCTGGAAAGGGCGAAACAATAAAAGCGTTATAAGCGTTCGCAGACACTAACATGACCGTACGGAAAAAACCTAACACCGCTTAAATACCGAGATACAAACAGACACTATGATACACCTAATTAACCGCACAAGACCATGCAGTAATTTAATATCTGCTAAACTGCGTACCGCAGATATTTTTGCATTCTCCCAGAGGTCATAACTACTATACCGTTGACAAGGAGGCAAACTGACCCTGGGCTCGAGACTGGTACCTTTCGTTTGATCGAGGGCTCAACTTGTGGTTTTACATGACGTATTATATAACTTACAGACCAGCGGTTGAGTTGTTGTGCGATTTCCTGAAATATCGGTTACAATCCAAATGTCTTCGGGAAAGGTTAGCAGTGATATTAAGATAACAGAGGGAAAGGCAGAGATCTGTTTTCCTGATTCAAATTCTGTGTTCTACAACCCCGTTCAAGAATTTAACAGAGATTTAAGTACAGCAGTCATAAAGCTGTTTTCCAAGGAACGTTTGGAAGACAAGAGAAAACCAAATTTGGAAAGTACTTCCGATGGAGAAGACGAGGGAACGGATGAAACGTGTGAAGGACTTGACCAGGAGAAGTCTAATCCCAAAGTGGCATTATACTCAGGGAAAATACCCAGTGAACGTAAGTTTTGATCTAAACATTTCATAATTCAACTTTTAAGAAATTAAAAATTTCAAAACTATCTAAAGAAAGCTAGTAGCCGAAACTTTTAATTTCAAATTTCACTGTGAAAGTTCCTCTAGAAGAACATTGTAGTCAAATTTCTGAACAGTCGGAAGTTGGTTTCCATTGTTTACCTCAGTACACTTACCTACTAATACTCTCAGAATCACTTGATCGTGACTTAATCCTTCGACTGGAAGTCCTTTATTCAGCTATGTATAAATAAATAAGTTAATCTTTTTATGTATATATTTAACAATTACACACTGACGTGGAGGTGAATACTGGTGCATATTTACCTCACTCCTTTGCAGCTTGGTAAATTTCCACCTCTTTCACTAACACTGATGTGAATAATTGTTTCAGTGTATACCACATAGAACCAAAAATTTGGTTTGTTCCTGTAATGAAAAATGATCACTTATCAAACTCTTAACAAGAAAAAGTGACTGAAAAACTGCAAGGTAACTAATAGGAATACTGAAAAATTCCCACTTTGTTTTGAATCGTGCAGAAGTTTTATTATTGTAGTCAGATTTGATACTGGGATAATTCACTTATAATAAATAGGCATTTGTCTCAAATTGTGGGGGCTTAGTAGATTTACAATTAGGTCAAGTAAAATCAAAGCAAATGAGTGGGTGGGAGGACCTATTCGAATGAAAAAGTGTAATCAGGGCTTCAAAATGCTGCTCAAGGCTGCATCAGTTTAGACTGTTGTTGAAATAGGTTTGATTGACTTTACTTGATTTGATATGCACCATCAGTTCTGTTGTTTTATGTGATCATCAAGAAAAAAGAAATGATGGAATCACTATCCTGGAAGGTTTGTCAGCATCTGGTCTGCGTGCAGTGAGATATGCCTTGGAAGTGGCAGGTGTAAAGAGCGTAACTGCCAATGATATCAGTGCTGATGCTTACAAAATGATTCAGCAAAATCTTGAGCATAATAATGTGCAGCATATTGTAAAGCCAAGCAAAGAGGATGCTGGGTGAGTGTGTGTATACAGCATATTTAATGCAGATAAACAGGACTAAAGGTTATGATAACTAAATGAATGGGCTCTTGAATAATTTGTGAAACCATCCATCTGCTTAGTTGATGAGCTTTTCTTTTGCTCCACTGTATTTTACTAAAGGGCAACTCAGCCCTATGAAACACAAAACAGCTAGAAAAATTGTGTAATGAAGTTAATGGCCACACTCAAAACTGAAGACACCTTCCATGATAAACTCTTTAATATTCCTCTGGAAAAGGTCACTTATAATTATGCAGTAAGTTCTTATTATGAATGCTTTTCAAAACTCTGCTTTCCACATATGAATGCCATATTTATGTACTCTGTCAAGTGTACATTCTTTGTAGGAGATATGTAGTTCCTTTCCATTCCTTGCTAATCCATCCCACATAAAACTTCATTCTCCCTCCCCTGTACTAGACTTTTCCCCTAGAAAAAACCTAGACATTTCGAGTGTTAGCCCTTCATCAATTGCTCTGATGAAGGGCTAATGTTTGAAACGTCAGGTTTTTTACCATTTACAGTGGCTAATTTACGTTTTCAACTCAGTTGTTAACACTAAATTACCTGCTATACTCTCCCACTGACGCAGCACCACAGTTTCTTTAGAAACTTACCCCTTTATTCATCTCCAGTTTTCTTTGGCCTAGGGTAGGTTTAGGATTGGGTTTTTGCTACAAGTGTAGCTAGACTAACCCTTGAACAACTTGAAACAATTGAGTCACCTTTCGGGGGACTAGTCTTTAGCACCATACTGTACTACAAGATAAATAGAATATTAAATGTTCTTTGTCAAAGATATCTCATTGCTCTTGTACTCTGTCCAGTATGTTATCCACTAGGAGCCTTAAATTATTTGAATGGTATGTTACTGTGAAAACATAGGGCTCTAAAATTTTTCATCTTCATTCACAGCTGCAGTGTAGTGAAATAAACTTTTATTAAGAACCTTGTCAATTTCTCATGAAGGTTACTGATGTACAAACATCGTCATCCTCCTTCAAGTCGCTTTGATGCAATAGATTTAGATCCATATGGATCAGCATCAGTCTTTCTTGATAGTGCAGTTCAAGCTGTAGCTGATGGTGGCATTCTCCTGGTAACATGCACAGACATGGGGGTGCTCTGTGGAAACCATAGCGAGGCTTGTTTTGGAAAATATGGCAGTATGTCTTTAAAAGCCAAGTTTTGTCACGAGATGGTAAGTACACTACAAGTGTAGTTCAACCTACACTGTTGTCAAAGGTCATCTGATTAGAACTAATCCAGTTTAGCTCTTATTTGTTCAAAGAAGACATGTAAAAAATTAAGTAGGTTGTTTTTGCTTCTAAAGTTTTGCAAACATTTTTTTTTCTGGTTGACTCACATGTTATATTAACATGTGATCATATTATGTGAATGCTTCCATATTCATGTCCTTATCTGCAGTTCATATATATGATTTTCATATATTTACAGTCGTTTGTTTATCACTTCATGGGTTTGTATGGAACCAACACAATGACCAGCTCCCAGTTGGCTTGCAAGCCAAATTGGTAGAGCTCTGCACCGGTATTGCAAAGGTCATGGGTTCAAATCCCATACAGGCCTGAATTTTTTTCAGACCTTATTTTCACTACTGCTCAAGGAGTGTTCATTACTGCTTTCATATTCATGTATTTAGTACCTTAGTTATCGCTAACACTGTAGACATTTTTGAGCTACCTTTCTATCCCTTGATTAAGACTGATCTTGTCCCAATGTAGCCCCTATGTCAGTCATTACCAGTACTAAATTCATGATTTAGGTTACAGAGCTATTTGCTTGTGACTCCTCATAAAATGTTACTCAATTCTACAAATATTTTTTCTTTTCTTCACAGGCTTTGAGAGTGTTGCTCTTCTCTTTGGAAACTCATGCTAATAGATACAAACGATACATTAAACCTCTTTTGAGCATAAGTGTGGATTTCTATGTGCGTGTTTTTGTGCAAGTCTTTACAAGTGCCTCAGAAGTGAAAAGATCAGCAAGTAAAAACTGTCTGGTCTTCATGTGCATTGGATGTGGAAGTTTTCATTTTCAGCCAAGTGAGTGTAGTGAAAACTGTATTTTGTATGGATATGGAACTATTTTTCATAGTAACAAACACTACTTAAGCAGTAGTGGAAATAAGGCCTGAAAAAAATTCATGACTATGGAAGTAATCACTTCCTTATTCACTTCTTTATCTGCAGTTCACATATTAATTATATGATTTTCATATATTTACAGTCATTTATTCATCTCTTCAACAGTTTATTTGGAACCACCATAATGACCAGCTCCTAGTTGGCTTGTCAACTCAGTTAGTAGAGCACTGCACCAGTATTGCAGAGGTCATGGGTTCAAATCCCATATGGGCCTGAACTTTTTTCAGGTCTTATTTTCACTATTGCTTAATTAGTGATCATGATTGGGGAGATTGCTTCCATATCAATTTATTTATCTGCACTTTAGTTCATGACTGTGAATATATGAAAATCATATATGTGAAGGCTTCCATATTCACGTCCTTATCTGTAGTTCGCGTATATGAATTCCATATACATGTATTTACAGTCATTTATGCATCACTTCATAGGATTATTTGGAACCAATGTAATGACCACCTCTCAGTTGGCTTGTTAGCTCAGTTGATAGAGTACTGCACTGGTATTACAAAGGTCATGGGTTCAAATCCTGTGCAGGCCTGAATTTTTTCCTAGGCCTTATTTTCACTACTGCTTAAGTAGTGTTTTGTTACTGAGAAGATTGCTTCCATATTAATTTATTTATCTGCAGTCCACGTAATGATTTTCATATATTTACAGTCATTTTTCTTTTGCATGCAAGTTAATTATTTGTGCACCCAGGTATAATTTGTTTCCATTACAATTAAGTTGCATATTTCATTTTCTTTTTTGCTTTTTTGTGCCAAGCAGTCAAAAAAGAATGTTGTGATGACTGGTTCAAAGTGCTCATTGATATGAAGTGTAACTGCCAGTAGTATTGTTTCTTACTGTATTGCATGCCCTAGTTACATGAGACATTCAATTTAGGGTAGAACTGATTGCCATGGTTTCTACTTTTTTTTGTGTTGTGTTTTTGTGTGTTGCTAATTTTTCAGTAGAATCTTAAAATTTTGTTTCATAAAATTAAGTATTGTTAGTTGTTTTTATTTGAGGTTCAGTGTTCATTGCATCAAATGACATGCTGTGTTCATCATTATTGTTTTTTGAAACTGTCAAGGGACTAATGGATATCCAATCAAAGTTTCATCTTGTCTTGTTATCTGGCAAACAGTCCTTGAAGTGGGACAAAAAAATTACTGACAGATTTTCATTTGAGTCTAATACCCACACTACAGTGAAAACCATTCAAAGTATCACATATACTTTGACACTTGCACAAGCATCTTTCACCTTTAAAAACTTACAATGCATTGTAATAAAACATGCTTTCCAAATGGAGTGGAAAAATTCAAGTTTTCCAGTAAACCCTATGCCAAAGGGGTATTTTTTCCAAGAAAGTAAAAGCAACATGAAATTCAGCAGAATGTGTGCTACACAGCACACGAGCTTTGTTGATTGAACACAAGTATGCCTTTTTGTACACATTCTATCTCACATGCTGCACATGCTGTTTGGCCCACTGATTGAAACAAAACTAAAAAAAAGGTTTCAGTGACACTCTTTGTTTTTCTTATCTAGGTAATATGTGCTTATCTGAAAATTTAAGACAAGTTTAGTGGGCTGACTCATGGCACACATTCCTGTGCCTGACCACCCTTTTAACCTATTTTCCTGTTGACAAGCACAAATACAGACAAGGAAAGGGGACTTCCAATGTTGGGTGTGTTAATTTCCTTATCTGTTTATTTCAAGTTATTTGCAGAAAAGCTAAGACTTGTGGTAATACTAATTGAAGTGGTCAAAAATGTATCATAAAGTTCAACTCATGAAGTTCTAAGTAAATACTTGTATAATCAATCTTATGGCAAGTACATTGGTAATAGGGTTTCAGATAGTGACAATTACAACAACAATGAAATTGATGGCCCTCTAGATTTCTTGGTATGATGAAAATGACAAATACATGTACATATAATAACTCCTTGTTCTATGTTACATTTATGCAAGATTTAGAATGATCATAATCATTTAGGGAGTTAAAAACGTAAAGGGAGAAAACCCTTCTACTTCCATATTTTTTTATATGTGAAATGATAAGAATCATTTTAATCTATTTAATTTATTTCAAAATTGTTGGTGCAGTGACATGATTTGTTACTTTTGGTGTCCTACATTTGGAGACTGAAACATTCCAAGGAGATGTTGGTCCAACTTTTCCGGCTTACTGATGTAATAGAATTTTCCAGTACTGTCTTTGAGAAGTTATTGTTTGTTAACGGCTCAAAGTATGTGTTTGCACCAATGGCACTTTCTAGAATGCGTAGAATTGTATTTTAGTTAATCATTTCTATGAGTTTTAGAGTCGGCCAGTTAGGGGGTGTGATTTGTCATAGCCTAGGACGGGAAATTCTCTCGACACAGAGTGGCTTTTGCGATTTTTTGTTATAAGATTTACAGGACTTTCAGTATTGAGGGAGAACCATGGGTAATCTTCTCTGGTTCCTATGCAGAATTCCATGGCCCTAAGCTATTTTCTATTCAGACTGGTAAGGTGAACTTTTCACTAATCACCTAGTGCTAATTTTTTTCCCATTTCAATCCTTACCCAGCACATCTGTTAACAATGTATTAAACAACTAAAATTACCATCTGCTCCTGAAGGGGACTTGAAATTCTCAGTTATATAAATGTATGCTTAATTTTCTGGGTGTGATCAACTTGTGAAATATTAGTTTCTTAACTCAGTTAAAAATTTTGGTGGACTTCTATATGAGTTTTGTTATTGAACACAAATTTTGTCGTCTTTGCTAGTGGGCCGCTGTATTGAAGAAGGTCTTAGCAAGAAGTACCCCCCAGCCATTGGTCCTCCAGTTGGATCCTCATGTGACCAGTGCGGTAGGCAATTCCACATGGGAGGACCCATATGGAAAGAGAAAATTCACGATGCTGAGTTTGTAGAAAGATTGCTCAAGACTGTGAAGGAACAACCTGGTCTGTTCAAGACTTCAGAAAGGATAATTGGTAAGTAACAAAGAAATTTCCGTTCCTTCACATTGATAAAGGTTAGTTAGTGATTTCTGCTTTTCGTGCTTCTTGACTTTGTTCATTCTCCCTCAGTGGGTAGTGATCTTATCACATTTCAACATCTTTTGTGATTGATTACTGAGCAGACTTGGGATCTTTTCAAAGCATAGTAATATAGTTCGTCTCATGATGTAGTCACTTCCAATGTGGATCGCGACGTTTTGACTGCATGTTGGTAATCTTCTTCAAGCGGTGAGGTGGGTGGAATATGCGTGACCTTTTGAAACATTATACTTCACTTTCTCTGCCTGTTCTTCAACAGCTGTTTATGGTGAATTTGTGAAGATGCATTCCCTCAGTGATCCACTGTCGCATGGCTCTTCAGTTAATGTATTTCTTGATCCAATTTTGGAATTCCTGTTCCACTGTCCTTGTTTATTTTGTTGGGGTAGTCTAATTCGGATTTCCTCCTTTATCTTGTATGTGCGATAATTAGGATCATGATCAGTAAGGTTTACTTCTTCACTGAACGAGTGGTGTCCTGTGTTGTGGGCGTGTACTAAAATGGCAGAGGTCTGTGTCTTAACAGTCGGTTGTCTCTTTTTCATGCTCCTTGATTATGTCCTGCGTAGGTCTTTCAGTCTCACCAATATGAACTGGGCCAGTGGACTTAAAATCTCAGAAGCGTGGATACCGACAATTAAACGCAACACCATGAGGGTTGTGTAACAACGGAACAGTATGGAAACAAAGCTCCAAAAAATACACTGATGAAAGCTATTAAATACCTGCTAATCATAACAGAGCATAAGGGTGCCACGTATCCTGTCAATATCAATGCCTGAAAAAGACTAGAAGTATGCTTTCGAAACATTGAGAGCACGATCCCACTTCGTGACATAAGTGATGGTACTTCAATACCAGTTTGCGATAAGTAACGACAACCTTTCCATCTTGCTACTCGCAAATTTTTCAGCTTCTTTTTTAATCCAGAAGTCTTTCAGTATTTTAGAAAGTCTTTCCAGCATTAGTGTCATTTTGTGGATTTGGTGTAGTTAGGTGTGGAACTAAGCTCTTCACTATCCTCTGAATCTCATGATAAAAAGAAACCGAATAAACAAAAAACTCTCTCCTCCCCAGGTTTGTATCCTGTAAAGATTATTTTATCCTTATTCCACTATGTTATGCTTCCATTTCATCACCATAATACATTCTCCTACGATAGGAAATTTGTTACTCGTACAATACTTTGAATCGAGTGGAGGAAGTTTGGTGTCGAATATCAAAATGTCTGTGGGGCAAGACAGCCGTTCACCCTTAAGGTTAAACTATGATTCCTCAGCTTTCATCCGGTGGCAGTTGTTTGAACAATTGACTGAGTTACCACGGAGGTACCAATACGAAACTCTCGATTCAGCCATTGATTTCTTGCGTTACACAAAAACAGCAGCTGAACCACGCGTAATGATTCTCGCTATTTGGGTGTGTATGGCCGCGTTACGGAACTGTTTTCAAAATGACGGTGCTGGAGGCCTAATTTATAGCAAATCTGAAAGTAGTTATTGAACGCTTAAGTTACTCATTGGAATTTCATATCACAGTCAGAACTAAGTTTCATTAAATCTTTTTTTGATGTTACAGAGAAAAGTTACACGGTTTCATAACTTTACTTCTTCTTTAACGACCTGAGCGGAAGTTATCATCAGAAATTGTAAATTCTAATAATAACTTTCACCTGGAAGGTCAGACGAGAGGTTCAACTTTTACCTTTGGGTTCAAACCATTTACTGCGATGAAAGTTACGTGTAAAAATTTAATTTATTTTCCTGTTCAGGACTGTTGAATGTTATCCAAGAAGAACTACCTGACTGTCCTCTATACTACAGTGTGGATCATCTCTGTGGAGTTCTTCATTGTAACACACCTTCTCTTGTGCAGATCAGATCTGCTCTACTGGAAGCAGGCTACAAGGCTTCCAGCTCTCATGCGTGCAAACAAGCACTCAAAACTGATGCTCCTCACAGTGGTATGTACAAGAGAGGCACACCTAAACGATGAGGCTATTTGTTCAATTTAACTCAGTGAAAAGGGAAATATCGTAAAGCTCCACATTATTGTAATTGATTGCGACGAATATTTTTATTTAACATCACAGTAAACATTCTTCCACCCAGTATATTGTAATTTTCGTTTCTGTTGCTGAAGACGGCGAATTTTAGCGATTTGTAGGCTTCGGGATTGGACCATCAAGGGTGTAAAGCTCAGTTTTCTGTCTATTACAAAGCGGTCCTACGCCAAGGCAATTTTCACCTACAAGCTGCAATCGTACGAGCTCTAAATGAGGAAATTTAAAAGCCTAAGCTCTCTTTATGTATCATCACATTTGAAACTCGTTAAAAAAGTTTAGAACTTGAGTCCATATAAAATCGAGAAATTGAGAAATCAAGAAATTGAGGCTCAATAAATGCGCATTTGAACTTTCGTGTGCCTGCTGAGACTTACGTTGTTCCACTCATCTTTGATTGGGTGATAATGAACAGTACAAAGGACATCAGTATTCCCATAGATTTATTCTAAACTCAAATGTACAACTGTTCACAGCATTTTTGTGGGCTCCCTTTATTAGTTGGGTGTATTTTAATGTCACTTGTTCTAACCTCATTACGAATGTTGCTATATTCAACCCAAACAAGAGGACATGAGCTGATGTCCTCCTGGCTGCCAGTGGTTAAAATAGTACAAAATTGAACCATTTTCCTTGATTTTCATTTTTAATTTCAAAGATAATTAATTCCATTTAGCTTAATCCAAGTTTTGATGCTATTGTTACATGTAACTTTCTAACGTCACAATTTACAATATACAATATCGCAATTTTTTGTTCGGACATAAAGTTGCTGCTGGTGGATCTGACCCCGAAACTAGGAGTTCGGAGGCGTGATCTTTGTTGTTTGTCTTAAGTCCACAACCAATGCTTAAAAAATTGACAATTCTATAACACAACGACATTTTATGCAATACACTATTTTTTCTACTATTAGTTGTGTGGGATGTCATGAGGTGTTGGGAAAAACTTCACCCTGTAAAACGAAGGAAAGAAAATTCTCCAGGTGCAGCCATTCTCAGCAAAGAACCTGCCATTCAGGTGTCGTTCAAAGAAAAACCTGAAGCAAACCCTCTGTCAAGAAAGAATAAGCTTCTGAGATATCAAGCGAACCCTGAGGCCAACTGGGGACCAAAGCCTAGGTATGTAACACAGTTAAGCATTAGTGGTGATTTCGTCAGGCATCCTTTGTCCTGCGTGAAAGCTGTTGCACATCTGCATGGGTATTGAGCTTAATTTCTGATAATGATACACTTTAAAATTCTCTGGGTTTGGATGTGGTTAGCTTTTAATAAGTTACCCTAAATTTTCCTTGGTTCTCCTCCAAATCCTTCCATTCTTTGAAACTGCCACAGGTACCCTTTCTCTTTGGTCAGATTCGATGCCATTCGATAAGTGGGCGAGCAAAATCGTTAAGAGTATCTTATTTCACCCACGTTTTAAAAGGGAAACCTGATTTGCAGGATAAGCATTAATGTGCAGAGCGATGTGCGTTGCTTTCTTGCCATGGTTGACATTTCCTCACGTCAATGCCAAGTTATTGACGTGAATGAAATGCGTTTATGCTAACACTGAAAAAGCAAATCACGGGGTTTGACAAGAAGAGGTATGGCTGTGTGAGATATCGAAAACAATGCTTATGGATTCTCCCAATTTTTTTCTCTGCCAGAGCCACGCCATTTTTCGATCATTGTCATTGCCGAAAGCCTGGCTCTACCTAACGCTACCTACACTTTTGCGTTCATAAGTTTGTCCCAAGTCAATGTTAATCTGCTCAGCCACCACATAGACATCTGTACTTGTATGAAAAGATGAAGAACCTGTTAATCCTATAGATGTGTAAGTCAAATTGGAAAAGACTTGGGTTTTGTGATACTTTATATTAATATGAGTTCGTTATGTTAAAACGTAGGGCAAAGAGGAAAAAAGAAACAGAGACAATAGAGGATAAGAGGCAGCGTCTACAAGGACGAAGGACTCCAGAAGAAGACAAAGATTATTACAAACAATTTCCTTGTAAGAAATTTCGACTTGGCAAGTGTACGTATGGTGACGAGTGTAAATATTCGCATGATGTAAACCTGTACATTAGGAAAAGTAGAATTCCCCGAAGTGATGATGACTGCTCAGCGGTGAATATTGGAGAGTCAAGTTGAACTGTTTGATGATCTCTGAACACTTTCTTTAATCTTTTGAAAAATAAAACGCTACGGAAAAGGCATTCTTGACACACGTAATGATTCTATAAGGTAAGCAGAAGGGCGGGTCTTTGTGAATAGCCCGTTCGGATTTTGCAGGTCTGGTTAGTTAGCCGATTTGTTTTCAAAATGGCGGCTTTCGTGGTCATAGTTTTGAGCTCATTTGAAGACTTTTTGAACGGAATCTCAAAGACCTGCGCGTGATAAATTTTTGGTTGACAGAGCATACTTGACCTTTAAAGTTGCGTTAGCAATACAAGATAGATTTCAATGTCACAGTGAACTACATGGCTGTCAGTGAGTTTTTCCTTTTTTTTACGTTACAGGCGTCAGAATCATATTATTTCACTCTCAATAGTCAATGCCACCTCACTTTTTGTTAGACATAAGTTAACTTTGGCACGACTTTTTAAAAAAATTTCTGTTTTTAATTTTTCGGCAGGACTTTAATTTGCCGCCTCAACTTTAATTTTTCGGCGCTACCTTAATATTCTGGTCTGTTATTAAAACAGTACCCACAAATGAAAGCCTGTGCAGTGATCTTCGCAGTGATGAACACTACTTAAGCAGTTTTATTCTCTTTTCTTTTTTTTTCAGGCCTTATTTTCACTACTGCTTAACTAGTGTTCATTACTGCGAGGAACACTTTCATTACGTATATGATTTTCTTAAATTCACAGTCAGTACCTACAAATGTTTACCTTAAGATTTAAATGTCATCTCGTCCAAATTTTTTATGGGCTTTGGTGGAGACATTAACTGTCAAGTTGTTTTGTGTTAACACACAAGGTCATAAGCAAAGCAGTTTTCTGATGGTACAAAAAGAAACAAAATCAAAGCGATTATTCTTGTTAGTAGGAAGTCCAACTTCCGCAGCACATCGAAGTTTGTTAGTATTTTCGTGTTAGTGGGACTAAGATGACTGCTACTAAGCTCACTACCTAATTCTTTGGGCTCAGAAACAACTACATTAACATTTGCAGGCTCTTCAACTAGATTACTACTTTTCTCTGCATAAGGCCTCAACATATTTCCATGACATATCTGTGTCTGTTTTCGCCTATCTGGAATGACTATTATGTAATTTGGATCGTGTAACTTCTTCACAGACATAGGGACCAAAGCATCGAGAATGAAGTGTGTTACCAGGCACTGGCAACAACACAAGAACCTTTTGACCTAGCATAAAGTCACATTCTTCAGCAACTTCGTCACACTTCTTTTTCTTAGACTTCTGAGAGTAGACTTTAGCTAACTCACAAGCTTTAAAGAGCTTAGTGCAAAAATCTGAGACATACTGCTAAAGATTGATAGGCTCAGTTACACAACAACTTTTCTTTAACAGAACAGTCTAAAAACTTACAACACCATATTTTGATACTATTACATCCTAAATACGTGAGGTATGGCATGCACGTCAGCATGAGTGAGAATTCTAGAAATTTCTAGATATTAATCTGGCAGTTGTTATCCATAACACGGTCAGTCACGGGAAATGGTAGATTGACCACTAAGGGGCAGGTTGACTGCTAAATACAGGTTTCACACACTAGGGTTATTGTAAAAAAACAACGCTACTTTATGCAATAATTGACTACTAGATGTACAGAATCTTGGCCGAAAATTCTACTTACTTTGATTTTGGCTGTGAAATATGGATTAAGAATTACTTGAAAGATTATTATTTGTTTTATTTGAGAGGTCCCACTTTCAGTTACCATTCAGTACAGGTGGAGGACAATAAAAACAGGCCGTTGGGACTAAGTAGAGGGTGACCGCGACTGCTTGATAGAGGTGACTGCTTAATAGAGTTGAAAATTACAGTGATTAATGGGAAACAACTTCCTGACTTTGACAACTGACTGCTAAATTAAGACCTTTCAATACAGTGCCGTTAAATACAGGTTGGACTGTAACTCAGGAAAACTCGATGTGTTCAAGAGGGAACGTGACCATGGGCAGCTGTCGTTCCGCGGGTCGACGGTTGACAGATTAGTTTGTTTACTTTTTTTCGCTGGGTAAATAGTGACTATGTACAAGTATCATTATCATGTGTTCATTTGGCTTCACCATCGCTTTGTATTAAACAGATTTTATTACAAGAGTTTAACTAGTTCTTAATGCTTCAAATAACGTCGTTGAACGTCAGGGGCTTGAGCAACTTCAAGAAATGTAGGGTACCACTTTTAACGTGATCTAGAGGAATGAAATCTGACATCATTTTTCTTTAAGAAACTCATAGTGCAAAAGAAGTGGAAAGACAATGGGAACGTGAATTGGGAATTAAAGCGATTAAGGAATTCTAGAAATTTCTAGGACGTCGAATATTCCGTATTAAATCTTTGTGTGCCAAACAAGGATAGTTGACCACGCAATTTTTCCACAATGTTGTAGCAGTTACTATTGGAATTTGGAGTTTCCCGTGAGGATTGTTAATGGCGGAGATTTCAGTTGTCCACTGAATCCTCTTTTGGATAAGAAAGGTGATACTTTGATTCCACACACACCTGTAATTCAGACAAGTTATAATAATAAAAAATAATTCCTATTGATAGCTTACGAGAAGATTTTACTTTACACGACAGTTGGAAAATCAGGTGGAGAGTCAAAGTCGCTGTTGTTGTTCTGCCGGTAGGCTTCATTATAGGTTGACGTCGTCTTATCTTTTTGATACCGTAAAACCAACATTAATATAATCGGGGGAGTTAAAACAGACCATTTTGCAATCACAACTGAAATTCAAACTTTCAGAAAATTAAGTCAAGGGCTCGGGTGTTTGGAAGCTGAATGTTTTGTTGTTACTGAACAAGGATTATAATGAAGTAATGAAGCGAAATATTCTAATATGGTCTAGCGAGCCTAAATCTAATTTTGATAATTCACAAATGCCATGGGATTAGCTAAATTATAAAATAAGCGAGTTTTCTGTAAGCTTTGCTGAAAACCAAATTTGAAGCAGGAATTGGAAAAGTTTAAACCGCTTCATGAGATTCATCCGACTACGGAGACTTTAAATCTGATACAAAAAGTTCGAGCAAACCCAGAGTCTTACAAAGAAAAAAGAATTGATGGAATAATTGTTAGAACTAGCATGGAGGAAATTTAGAAAATACGAAAATTAAATTAGAGTGGAACTATCACAAAGGATCCCTATAAAATATTAGAAGTTCAAATAAATTTTTACAAAGAATTATACTGTTCAACGACAAAAGACCTTTACGGCCCCGAAAGTAGTTTGTTTTTTGACAACCCAAATATTCCGAAACTTACAGATGATTTGAAGAACTTATGGAGGGTGAGGTGACAATTAATCCTTTAACTCATGAGAGTGGCTAGCATCTAATTTCTCCTCACCAACGAATCACACATTAATGTCATGAGAATAAAGGAAATGATCACCAACTAAGGAAACTCTTGATTTTTAGGCAAATTCTCCTTGTTGGTAAATGTACGGAAAACAGAATGAAGACCATGAATACTGACATTAAGCCAAGGAAGTTTCAAGGACTTTTAGAGATAATGAAGGCCCTAGTAATAATGGTGTACTATTTAAGTTCTACAAAAAATTTTGGTCTACTGTCTGAGTTCTACAAAAAATTTTGGCATCTCTGCGAAAGTTTGGTAAACTCTTTTCATGCTGCTTTCGAATCAGAATTTTGTCCATCTCGCAGAGGCAGGCAGTCATTACATTAATCGATAAGAGAGATAAAGATCGTTCTTATTTGAATAATTGGCGACCATTCTCTTTATTAAATACAGACATTAAAACCTTAGCATTTCGGATTACGAAAATTCTACCCCTTATGGCATTCATAGTCATGAAAGTGGTTATGTGGAAGGAAAGTATGTTGACGAAACAAATGGAATGTTGCATGACTGAGTCATGCAAGATGAGGCAAGTCATCAACCCAAGCAAGTCATCGACTTGCCTGGGTGTGAAGCTTGATTGTAGACTTTCATGGTCTGAAAACGTTTCTCAAGTCAGAAAATCTGTTTAAAGGCAAAAGGTTAAAGCAATGAAACGAATAAAGTATCTACCTCTAAAGACTTCTTTCAAGACAATAATTCCGAGTCTAACTTCTGTATTTTAATTTGGGAAACTGCTCTACAGCCCCTTTTTCTTCTCTGGAATCGACACATTCGAGAGCAGCGAAAGTTATTTTCGACCTCGATTCGTTTATTTCTGATGCTGATTGTCTTTTGAATTCTCACTGGCCCTCTGTTTCTTGTTTTTACGAAAAGTCTGTCCTTGTATTCATGCACAAGGTTTATTTTGATTCCCTGTCTTTTTGGCCCGATGAACTGTTTTCGAAGAAAGTCACTGGTAAATCTCTACGAGCTATATAGATGTTTACACCCAAACCTAAGCCTGAGGTCGGAAGAGATTCCTTAAGGTACAGAAGACCCCTCATATGGATCTATATGAACAAAATGTTTGATGTTTCGAGTAATTTAAATAGCTTCAAAGCTTTTATAAGAAAATCAAAAGCTGATCTGGAGGCTTTCTCTTTCAACAGAGAAGTTGCCACTGTTACGATGAAATCCAAGGATTTTAATTACTTTTAACATTGTTTTGAGCTTATCTTACAAATGAATGAACTGCGAACTTTTTATTTGCATCTGTAAATAGTTTTACTTCTTATAATATTCTTAATCATGTGTATGTAGGTCCACATCAGCCTTTGGCTGCCCTATTCTAACCTACTCAAATAAAGTATGTTAAGTATGTAATTAAATTTGCAAAGACTAAGGATAGAAGTGGTATTCTGGCATTTCTTGACTTCGAGAAAGTGTTTGACAGTATTGAATGGAACTGTATATTCAGATGTTTTGAAGATTTTGGTCTTGGCCTTGTTTTTAGGAGATGGGTCTTATTTCTATACTCTAATGTATCGAGCTGTATTTAGTAAAAACGGTTTGTATTTAGATTATTTTATATAAATAGAGAGAGGAGTCTGACAAGGGGACCCTTTCCGCCTTATATATTTTTATTGCGGTGGTAGAATTACTGCAATTAGCAATTAGGGCTAATGATAAATTTCGTGGGATTGGTCTTGGGGACAGTGTAATAAAGCTACTACAATACGCAGACAATACAAATGGGGTTTTAAGAGACGAAGTCTCGCTGAAGATGTTATCGGATACTAAAATCCTTTGGAAAAATTTCAGGCTAAGATCAACCTCTAAATCTGAATGTATGGGTTTAGGAGGAGATCGCGGTCAGAAGGGTGATCTCTTTGGTCTCAATTGGCCTATTCGGCCTACACGTCCAGGGGTCTATTTAACTTATGATTATGATGATTTATTAAGATGAACAACGTCTCAAGTAAATTAGAAAACACAGCAAATTGGTGGAAACGAGAAGAGGTTAAACTCTATATGGTAGGGCTCAGGTAATTAACTCTCTTCTTTAGCCCAAGCTAATCTACGTAGCAAGTATGTTTGTTTTTCGGAAGAAATTATCAAATAAATTAATAGAATTGTTTCTAACTTTCTATGGACAAGTCAGGATAGGATTGTGAGAACATTGTGAGATTGTGAGATTGAGAGTCTTAGATTTTGATCTCATTGCTTGTAAGATCTCTTCTCTTATCACGGATAAAAAGGTTGTACTATAGTTAGAATGCTGGCTGGAAGTGTTACCTCCATAATTTGCTACAGCTTATGGAGGATCTTTTCTCTTCTATTGTGATTACGACCCAGAATACTTCAATATTTCAAATGTTATTTTATGCAGAACTGATTCAGTTCGGGGCAGATTTCAAATGAAACAGTAGTAAAAATATCATGATAGATGGGAAACCGGTATTTCACTACACTTTTTTGATAAAAACAGAAAAATATCATTTCAGTCGGTCAATTAGGTTTCTCAAAGAGTAATTTAGCCTCTGGATACTATTAAAAATGAAACGAATATAAAATGCAATCTCCTACAAGGGGTTGTGAGCAGCTATCCTAAGTATCTTAAGGCATGAGGAAGATGATGTCATAAAGGGTGAAAAACTGGGTTTTTATTTTAATGATACTCTTTTTGATACAGGGGTGACCAAATGCAAGCGTCACTCTAGCATGCTTAAAGAGTTAAAAACTACCCTACCCTACCCTACCCTACCCTACCCTACCCTTCCCTACCTTACCCTACCCTACCCTCCCTACCCTACCCTACCCCACCCTTGCCAAAACCTCAGGATGTCACACAACTGTTCAGGAGGGTCAACAAGAAGTGCCTCCGTCTAAAAGCACCTTGAAGTTTTATGTCAATGACAAGGATGTATGGGTCTGCTCTACCACAGTGGAACAAAGGGTTTGTGGCACAATCACTGAGCGAACGAGTCCATCTCTTTACAAGGTAAATAACCAGACCTGGAGGCGCCTTGTGGAGAAACTGCAGGATAGCTACCTTGCCCCACCTAGAAAGGAAACAAATGATTGTTTTGTTCCTAAGATAGGGAAACACGTGATGCCTGTAGTTCCAGAGACCGAGCAGAAGGAAGCGCTAACTCAGCCCTTAAAAGCCAACCTAAACCTAAACCGAGCCCTGAACCAAAGTTGACCCACCCACCACCCACAAGTTTTAATGCCACCTGCCAGATTGCAGGACTTTACTTGCGATTTAGGAGGACTTTATTTGTGAGATTGCTGGACTTTGTTCGCAAACCAGAGAACTTTATCTTATTTCACTTTCATCTTGTTTTATGTGTGTTTTGTAAGTTCACATTTTGAAATTTAAAAGGGAAGAAAATTGTTAGATCTTTCCGTTTGGGTTTTCTCATACCCCATATAACGTTTTGCATATTTGGGCTGTCCACGAGGTTGAAGTTAAAGAACTATAGAAAGCTCCATCAACACACCGCTCTATACCGATTTATACTCCCTTTAATACATCTTTTACTCCACTTGTTTTCACCACTTCGCTAGGCAAGTCCTGTGTCTCATCGCCTCGCTTCAATAAACTTTGTTTACGTCTTTATTGTGGTGGACATAATTATTGTGACTACCCTTTCCAACAGCGCGACAAAGAATTTTCGGTTTTAACGTGGGATTAAGCAATCGTCCTGCAAGTAATGTTCCGCGCTCACACATCGACTGATTGACTGTTATAAGAATTGGGTCAACGCTTCCTCAAAGGAGGCTCTTTAAACTTTTGACCGCTAAGAGTAAGAAGCATCTAATTTGGCCTTACAATATCTTCCAAAATCACAGGTTAAGGTCGTGAGAATAAAGGAAATGATCACCAACTAGAGGAGCTCTTGAACGTGAAACAAATTCTCTTTTTCAGTACATTAGGAAATATATAGAGGATAGTAAGGGGAATATACATACTGATATTAGGGTGTAAAGGGTTAAAGAATGCTTTGATCTTTTATAGCATTGTTCAGAAAAGTTATCCACTTAAACTTGCGTGCTGCGATGTTACTCCTATGTCAACTCACCGATAAAACGCTTGACAATTCAATAGCTTTAATTCTTTTTCCTTTCCATACACAAGCAATAAAATAGCAATGAGTTTTACCAATCTTGACTTTACTGAGACACTTAATTCTGAAACTTACCGAGTTTTGATTGGTCATACTTACAAATTAAAAAAAAAGTTGCTTTGCCTTCTTCACTCATGTTTGTGTATGCAAACGCTTAGGTAATGGAACATATAGTAAGCAAAAGTGGAAACGCTTAAATATGATTTAAACCAAGTTTAAGTAACACGTCTAAATGTGATTCAATTAAAGTTGAAGTAAGACAAAAATCATTCGATGATATGGAGCTTTTATCCACTATAACGTGGATCAGTACAATTGAGGTGCAAGACCATTTCACGGTCCAGGAACGCATACATGCTACATTCTGATTTTGCTTGACTGAAACGGATGATGTTTTCCTAATGTTAACAGCCATTGTTTTC